GGATTGGCCGACTGACTGAAGACAGATTATAGCGATAAGGGGGCTTTTTCAGGATAGCAGCTGGTGACTATGGAGTTTCATATTATACATAAACAATCTAGACAAAGGAACTGTGGGAGCATTTTGCTATGCTTGTAGATGACACAAAGATAGGTGGAGGGAGAGGTAGTGTTGAGGAGGTGGGGAGGCTGCTGAAAGACTTGGACAGGCTAAGAGAGTGGGTAAAGAAGTGGCAGATGAATACAATATGGAAAAGTGTGAGACCGTGCATTTTAGTAGGAAGAATAGAGATGTAGACTATTTTCTAAATGGAGGAAGGGTTCTGAAGTCTGAAGCACAAGGGACTTGAGACTTCTAGTTCAGGATCATTTCAAGGTTAACATGCAGGTTCATTTGGCTGTTAGGAAGGCAAATGCAATATTAGCATTCATTTCAAGAAGGCTAGAATACAAGAGCAGGAATGTACTGCTGAGGCTGTATAAGGTTCTTGTCAGATCGTATTTGGAATATTGTGAGCAGTTTTGAGTCCTGTATGTACAAACGAATGTGCTGGCCTTTGAGGGAGTCCAGAAGAGGTTTACAAGTATGATCTGGGGATGAAAATCTTGTCTTCATGAGGACTCTGAGTCTGTACTCATGGAGTTTAGAAGGATGAGGGGGAATCTCATTGAAACTTGCAGAATACCAAGAGGCTTGGATAGAGTGGATGTGGAGAAGATCTTTCCACTATTAGGAGAGACTAGAACCTGAGGGCACAGCCACAGAGTGAAGAGACAACCCTTTAGAACTGAGATGAGGAGCAATCCTTTTAGCCAAAGGATGGTGAATTTATGCAACTCATTGCCGCAGAAGGTTGTGGAGGCCAAGTCATTGATGTATTTAGACAGAGATAGATAGGTTCTTGTTTTGTAAGGGGATCAAAGATTACAAGGAGAGAACAGGACAATGGGGTTGAAAAACATGTCAGTCATGATCGAATAGTCGAGCACACTTGATGGGCTGAATGGTCTAATTTTGCTCCCATATCTTATGCTCATCTTGTGTTTAAAGTGGATATCCACAAACTTAATTTTAAGAGTTTTGTTGTTTTTCCCATAGAAGCAACCAAAACTTTCAGACTATCAGCTTGATATAATATCTGAAGGGTCTGAAAGTTTACTATGTACTGATTGTTGTCTGGTGACATATTACTAAAGCATTGTTACTTTTTTAACTGCTGTTAATTCATGAACGGTAGCAGCTATAAGAAACAGAATTCAGCAAAAAGTAAATAAAAACTGAAAGAACTGCAGATGTTGTAAATCAGAAACAAAAACAGAAATTGCTGGAAAAGCTCAGCAGGTCTGGCAGTATCAGTGCAGAGAAATCAAAGTTCATGTTTCAGATCAAGTGACTAAGGAAGAGTCAGTCGGCCCGAAACGTTAACTCTGATTTCTCTCCACAGATACTGCCAGACCTACCGAGCTTTTCCAGCAATTTCTGTTTTGTACAGCAAAAAGTGAAACTGCAGAATAATTATCCCAGTGACTGCTGGAGTTCTCCTTACTGTAGTCTGAATATTAGTTTGTTGGTCTGTTTTGACAGCTCCTTTTATTAAAATGCTAGGAACAGTTCAGCTTCAACTTCAAGGGGAACTGGAATTCAAAGCAAGCAAAGTAATCGAGAAGAATCACAAATGCAAAGCCCTGGAGTGCCTTCCGAAGAGATAACTAATTCAAGTAAGATTTGTTGCCCCTGGATTATCTATTTAGACATTGAAATCCATGAAAATGAATTCTAATTGGTTTAATAAATTTTTAGACCAGGAAAACAATCCTTTTTCCCATTTAATTTTTGTGCACTAAATCCTACTCCATTGTGTGAAATTACTCGTTCGTAATAAGATATTTAAATGGAAGATGAGGGCTATACGTAAGTCGGCTAGAATCTATATACTTATTTTCGATGGGCATCACATAATCATAGAGTGTGAAGTTGAGTTTTGTAGCATTTGTAGTTGGGTGCAGCTGACAAGCGTCAGAGGTGTGCAGAGCTGGCAATCAATCAGTAGCTGAGTTGACATAATGCTGCTACTTTGGAGCTTTACACACCAACCAAGGCCCTCTTTTAACCTGCATTGTTGAACACATGTTAAGCAATATGAAGAACTACCCTGCCGCTAGCACTAATTGGGCAGCGTGTGGCTCAGCAGTTAGCACTGCTGCTTCACAGCGCCAGGGATCCAGGTTCAATTCCAGCGTCAGGTGATTGTCTGGCTGTCTGTCTGTCTGTGTGGAGTTTGCATATTCTCCCTGTGTCTGTGTATGGGTTTTCTCCCATAGTCCAAAGATGCGCAGGTTCGGTAGATTGGCCATGGGAAATTCAGGGTTACAGGGATAGGATAGGGGAGTGGGTTGGTGTGGACTTGATGGCCGAATGGCCTGCTTCCACACTATAGAGATTCTATGCTTCTGTGAAAGGATAATTATTGGCTTGATTTTTATTTTCTTGCTGTTTGTACAGTTCCACAAATGTTTAGTGCTTTCCACAGTTGTTTCAATTTGCAAATATCTACAGAAATTGAACTAATTATAATTGACTTTAAGGCCTCTGCATAGCACAGGTACTGCCAAAAATGATTTGTCTAATTGGGCTTAATCTTGACATTGAATATGACTGAAAAAGACTGAAAAACTGGACTGGTTGCTAGAAGGGTGAAAATGAGGCAGGAAAGGGCTGTCTACATTTTTGGTTCATAAAGAGAAACTGTTTGCAGGAGTGTCGTCACAATCTCTGTGTCCTTTGTACACTGGTACTTGGAGCCATGATAGCAGCACCCTGAGCTATTGTGACAGCAAACTGAGTTTCTACTGCTGCAATTAAACATTGAGTGAATGCTGCTCCTGTTGTCATGGAAACTGAGAAAACAGTCATCCATTGCTAAAAATCAAGATCAGTTCAGTAAGTGTAACCATGCTGGAAAGGAAGAGATCTAAGTAGTACACAGGGTTCTGTACTATCTTGAGGCAGAACTCCTCCGTGCATTTTGCAATGGAACATCGACTTTCCAATGCATCAAGCATTTTATTGTTTGTGTCTATCGGTCTTCGACGATGACTGAATCCCTTCATAATAGAATATGTGTGCTCTTACCCTTTGCGGAGTTGACACCTGCACTATCCTTGACCCCTGTCTTGCCTGCAATGTATTTGTATCTGGTGTCTGACTTCTTAATGTCCTGTCTCCGTTATCTTCCAAAAACTCACGTCTGGTGCATGTCAGGTGTGCTGTCATCTGGGCATTCCACTAAAACTATTGAATTTAGTGACACAGCTGGTAACAGATGGGATTTAAAACTGAATCAAATGACTTTGATCACTTGTATGAAATCTTGTATCTCTGATGCCACTGATCCCAGGTCCTTGAGGCTACAGAAAAAGCTTTGAGTCAACCGCTGCCCCTCCCACATACAGATGGATGCACAGCTAGGGGTCACACAGATGGAGACACAGATGGGGGGACACAGCCACAGAGAGACACACATTCACACCCCTAATTCTCCTACAGCCTTTTTAATAGTATGTCTAGAGACACTCCTGGCTGCATGTAAATGCAGAATATATCACCTTTCCAATTCACCCACCAAACCCTTCAGTGCAGCATCAGGGATTCTGAATCTGTTTCCACCCAAGTTGTGCCATACTTCACTGTATTCCAAGTCTAATTCACTTTCCTCAGAATTCCCATTATCAAATTGCTCAGTCATAGGTCCAGTTTAATTCTTTTCTTCAGAATAGTTCCACATCCAGAATATTTAGATATATTGACAAAGATGCACAAAAAGCAAGGTAGTGGACAAAGGCATATCCCCTCCTTGAAGCACTCAGTGTTTTCTCTGCTCGTTTTGAGCAGAATGCCAGCGGCGCAGTGTCACCTGCCCCAACAGCCCCAGACGCACCTGTTCCCTCCTTCACGGCTGCACATGTCAGATCTGTTTTCCTGGGAGTCAACCCAAGAAAATCGATGGGCCTGGACAGAATCTCCGGCTGTGCACTTAGATCCTGTGCAGACCAGCTGGCGGAGGTATTCGCTCACATCTTCAATCTTTCCCTCCTACAAGCCGAAGTCCCCACCTGCATCAAGAAGACCACCTTCACCCCAGTACCTAAGAAAGCACATGCAACGTGCATTAATGACTACTGCCCAGTGGCTCTGACCTCCGTAATCATGAAGTGTTTCGAGAGGCTGGTCGTGGCTCACATCAGCTCTATTCTCCCAGGCTGCCTCGATTCACTGCAGTTTGCCTGCCAACGTAACAGCCCCACGGCGGATGCCATTTCCCTTGCCCTACACTCATCCCTGGAACATCTGGACAATAAGGATACCTGCATCAGACTCCTGCTCATCGACTATAGCTCCGACTTCAACACCATTATTCCCTCCAGACTGATCTCGAAACACCGAGAGCTAGGTCACGGATCAGCCGTCTGGAACTGCATCCTAAGCGACCTGACCCAAAGATCGCAATCAGTGAAGATAGACAACTGCACCTCCTCCAGAATAACCCTCAACATTGGAGCACCCCAAGGATGCATTCTCAGCCCCCATTGTACTCCCTGTATACAACTGTGCAGCTAAATTCCGAAAGCCATCTACAAGTTTGCTGAAGACACCAGCGTGGTAGGACGGATATTAAACGAGGATGAGTGAGAATACAGAAAGAAGATAGAGGGCTTGATGACGTGGTGCAATGATAACAACCTCTCTCTCGATATCAGCAAAGCAAAAGAACTGATCGTTGATTTCAGTAAGAAAGGAGGAGAACATGCCCCCATCTACATCAACGGAGCAGAGGTTGAGAGGGTTGAGATCATCAAGTTCCTCGGAGTGACGACAACCGACAACCTGTCCTGGACTTTCCACATAGATGCAACAGTCAAGAAGGAACAACAACGCCTCTTCATTCTCAGGGGGGCTCAGGTAATTCAGCAAATAAGGACCTTCTCCAATTTTACAGATGCACCATAGAAAACATACAGTACGGGTACATAACGGTCTGGTACGGCACACCCCAGACCATCACAAAAGCCAACCTCCCATCCAGCCATCTTGCTGCCACAAAACAGTTGCCCCATTCCACCCCAATAATGCTCTCCTACAACCCCCTCTGACAGGCAGAAGATACAGAAGTTTGAACACACACACACCAGCAGGCTCAAAAACATTATTAGATTGATGAATGCACTTTCTAACTTCAAATAATGTTGATTTTGTTAATGTTGATCTTGCCTCATGCGTGTCCTGTGCAGTGTGATCTGTATGCATATTTTTCACGCTATGAGCTGTATGCCCTTGCTTACTATGATCTGTGTATACTGCTCGCAAACAAAGCTTTTTACTGTACTTAGATATACGTGACAATAAATCAAATCAAATCAATGTGCTGTGCTGTTCTGTCAGTTTTGTTTTTGTTTCAGATTTACAGCATTTCATAGAATCCCTGCAGTGTAGAATGAGGCCATTCAGCCCGTCGATTCTGCACTGACCGTCCGAAGAGCATCCCATCCAAATCCACCCCATCCACGTATCCCGCATGGGGTTTGTAACCATGGCTAACCTACCTAACCTGCACATTACTGGACACTACAGGGCAATTATTAGCACAGCCAATCCACCTAACTAACCTGCATATCTTTGGACTGTGGGAGAAAACCGGAGCACCCAGAGGAAACCCATGCAGACATGGGGAGAATGTGCAAACTCTACACAACAGCAGCCTAAGGCTGGAAAGAAACCCAGGTCCATGACACTGTGAGGCACTGCTAACTGATGTACCACTATGTCATGGTTTGCTGATTTTCTTTCATTTATGTAATTGAAAATTGGATATTTAGTTTTAGTTTACACTATGCCATGTTAACTATTAAGCTTATTAGTCAATTTAATAATAAAAATAATCTTGGTCACACAATTAAATGTGTAAAATTATCTACAGCTAAGAAGTGAAATTTTATATAAATTCTCTAAAATTAATTGTTAATAGTTTATGGATAAATTTAAAGTTACAGAAATAAGGATATTATTGTTGTAGGCATGTTGAACATTTGCCTGCTCTCTCATTAGAGATAGATGATTGGTGGTGATTTAATCTGAGGGTCTCCATGCCTAAGGGGAGGAGAGGGGTTGACCAGGAGCATCCTTCATGGTAACTTCAGCCATTGTGGGAATTGAACCCACGTTGGTGTTGCACTGCTTTGCAAATCAGCTGTCTAGCTAACTAAGTAAACTGACCTTCCCCCACTATATAATTATGAGTGATCACCAATGTAAATATATTAATGCATGTCATGTATGGGGATTTATTCTATCAATCTTTTGCTCTGGAATAATACTGCAATATATAGAAGAACAGCGGAATAGTTATTTTGGCATACAAATGAATAGTTCTTCGTTTTTTCTGAAACCTGAAAGGCATATTCATTTCTTAATGAATATCAAAATCACAGTTGCCAATTCCAGTAATTGAAAAGCTTACTTTTTGATAAATCATATTTTACACTCTTGGTATTTATTGCCTATGATATGCATTTCAAGGTCAGATGTGGTATAGGATAAATGAGAGGCAAAGTTCTCTTTTTACAGTGTGCTGCAATTATGCTATGATCTTTATCTGCATCAGCTAGTTTGTGGCTTTAAGTAAGATTCCCAAGTGCTAGATTACAGTAAGCATTCACACTTG